TCAAAAGGGCACACCACATTACCTTTAAATAAGGAAGGAAAAAAAGAAGAATTGTATAATGAAGGCATGATACGAGGATAAAGGAGAGGTAAATATCCCAGGACAGAAGAAGAGAAACTACAACTGTTTAGCACATATTTGGTCAAAGAATCGGATTCACTTGTCGCCTTGACGAGTTTTTTATGGTGCTAAGAATGGCAAGACTCGCTGACGATGCCGGCGAAACTTCTGGAAATGTACTACGGCCAAGGTCCGACTGGAAATGATCATGCATACAATGGACTCCGGACTATATGCGTTCCTCTAAGTCTTCCTACCAATATGACCAAGTTGCGAACACAAGGTCAAACAACTTCGATGCCTTTTAATGTTTTTAAATCATCCTACTTTTATTTACAAACATCACGATTTTATTTGATTAATAAAAGTTAGATATGATTTAATAACACCGTAATAGTCTTTATTATCTCTCATCCGAGCCAAAGTTACGGCGTCTTTTCGACCTAGCTTCATTCCTGTCAGCTTCCATCGATTGCTGCTTCACTCGCCCTCTCACTGATATGAAATTGGAGTTGAACTGGAATGTGCTACCTATTACCAAGGGCTGGCCGTCAGCTCTTGTGTGTGCATATCGAGCCGGCCAGATCACTCCTTGTTATTTGGATCCCATCTTCTCCGGTTCTTTGATTTTGCGTACTTCAGTTGAGGCAGTGTTTGATCTTCCTTCTATTTATGAGGTTTCTTCTCCCATCATCACCATTATAGTCAGTTTGATACTTCCATTTTGCAATGATTGGATAAATACTAATTCAGGTATGAGTTTTCTCTTCTTGATATAACTTATTTATATATTCAGCTTCCAGTATATCTTAAAATTAGTTGGTGCTAAATTCAAAGTTGTGCATTCAGAACACGGTGATATTTGGAGTGTATTGCTTCTTAGTTTTTAGTGAGGCCTTTGCAATTTTTAATTCAAGAAAGCTTCCACTCTTTTTTAATCTCTTAAAAATTGAGTATGGATAGATACTTGAAGTTTTAAAGGGGCCCATGTCTCGTAATCTTTCAATTTCTTAATCAAATCAAAAGCTTTTCGTATGAAAAGAAACCTGATTTAAAGAAATCTATTTAAGTTTAATTTTATCATAACCTTCATTTTGTTTGCGAAAGCCAACTGAAGATATGCGTAAATCGGCCCACTCAGAATCACAGAAAAATTACTCCAAAGTTGTGAATTTGGAGTTATTGAAAGAAGTCATTTCACCTTTCTGCGGCCCGACGAATTCTAACAGAGCTTTTACCGTTTATAGTTAAAATTTTAAGAAATAAACAAAACGGCAAGCCAAGAGTAACGACCAGCTTCCTTACTATTTATGCATTCGTAATAAAGCATTCAATGATTTTAAGATATGAAGAAAAACTGGGTTTCTAAGAATTCCTTGATTAAATAATATGGCATGATTCTCCATTTCGAAAGGAAAGTTGGTTGGAAGGAATTTATG